TGGAATCTAAGTGTCGAGTTTTCTCTTCACAAAAATTAGATTCTACCTCATGGAGAATTTTCCGAGTACCATCGCTCGGAAAATATGTTTACTTCGATGGAATCTAAGTGTTGAGTTCGCTCTTCACAAAAACTAGATTCCACCTCACAGAGATTTTCCAAAGTACAGTCTTTCGGAAAAAATATTCAGTTTGGTGGAATCTAAGTGTCGAGTTTGCTCTTCACAAAAATTAGATTCCACCTCATAGAGAATTTTCCGAGTACCATCGCTCGGAAAATATGTTTACTTCGATGGAATCTAAGTGTCGAGTTCGCTCTTCACAAAAATTAGATTCCACCTCATAGAGAATTTTCCGAGTACCATCGCTCGGAAAATATGTTTACTTCGATGGAATCTAAGTGTTGAGTTCGCTCTTCACAAAAATTAGATTCTTCCTCACAGAGATTTTTCGAGTACCATCGCTCGGAAAATATATTTATTTCGGTGGAATCTAAGTGTTGAGTTTGTTCTTCACCAAATTAGATTCTACCTCGGAGATTTTTCTCTTCAACTCTCAGAAAAATGAATTTACTTCAGTAAAATCTAAGTGTCGAGTTCGCTCTTCATCAAATTAGATTGAACCTCGGAGAATTTTCTGAGTTCCAAATCTTCGAAAAATAAATTTACTTCGGTAAAATCTAAGTGTCGAGTTCGCTCTTCACTAAATTAGATTCCACCTCGGAGAATTTTCTGAGTTCCAACTCTCAGAAAAATGAATTTGCTCTGGTGAAATCTAAGTGTCGAGTTTGCTCTTCAGCTATTGCGTACATGCGCTAAGTATAGCCTTAAGTCCTACAAAATATAGGTTACTCAAGTACAAACTGACACCTATTATGCAAAAATTTCCAACGCGAAATTCTAGTCAATGTTCAAACATTATTCTAGTTCAGTTCAAGAAAAGTAAACAGTTCATACACTAGCTTTTCTTCGAACAAACATTTCCGAACTATCAGGAATGTTTTTGTAAGCCGAGCCCTAACCTCGCATCCGAGAGACCGAGGAAAAATTCTAATGTTTTTTCTTTAAAAAAGGCAAGTGGGTCTGATCAGCCTATCTCTCCAATAAGCTAAAGCCATTTCGGTTAGGAGGACCTTGCAAACCCTCCAGGTAAAACCGATGGTTTCCACCAAATTAAATATTTCTTCCAAAAAGAAAATTTAATACCCCCTCGGGCAAAATATTCTGACAAAGAAAATAAAGGCCCCTTGGCCAGGAAACCAAATTCTACTTTGAATTTGAATAAGAGGGCCGAGGCCGAGCTCGCACCGAACTACGTTAAAAAGCCGAGCCCATCTCGCACCAAACTACGTTCAAAAGCCGAGCCTGCTCGCACAGAACTACATTTAAAAGCCGAGCCCGTCTCGCACTAAACTATGTTCAAAAAGCCGAGCTCGCCTCGTACCAAAATACGTTCAAAAGCCGAGCTCAATGCTCGCATTTACGCGAATAAGTGTTTAGGCAAAAACGAGTTCACCTCGCATCTAACAACAAAGTTTGCATGCCTAATCTACTAATCAAAGTTATTGCCGCATGATTGTCAAGAATATTAGTTCTCCGAGCAAATCATCTTACTCAAAGAACTGGGGGGCTAATGTTGGTACCGGATCCCGCAAGGGGTCTATTTTACATATTGGAGAACCATCACTTTACAAAATCCAAGGAGCCTTATCTTGCAAAAGGGGGTGGTCAAACCTTGACATTAATTTGTGATTAAATTCATGAATTAATTGCCATTGTCAAAGGAATAAAGTTTGTCATTCAAGATTAGGAGTAAATTGCCAAAAATTGGAGTTATTTTTTGGAGTTAATTCTGAATTTGATGGCCAAGTAAAGACACCAAGAAAGGGACTCATATTCTTCTACACAAGATTCATCTTCTACATTTCTCACCATTATTTAGACACAAACAATGTCATTCCTAATAATGACGAAATACATTCTCTTTGTTGTAATCGAACTACGTTTTGGCTTGATCCCACTTCGGGTACGTAGGCAGCTCGTCTCTCGAGTCCAGCTATACCAAAATCTATATTATTTTCTCCACAAGTTTATATGATCTATTCAACCCATCTTTGTGCTTGTCTTATGAGAACTTTGTCCCATCTTTTACATGATGTTACCAACCCTGGGGGGTTCGGGTTCAACAACCTGGTTTCCCACCACAGCAGTATCAAGCACCTGCACCTCAAGATTCAGACATGAAGACCATGCTCCAACAAATTATACAAGGTCAAGCTACAGGAGGAATGGAGATTGCTAAGAAGAATGATGAGTTAAACAACAAAGTCGATTGCACCTTCAATGACCTAAACAACAAGTTCGAATCACTGAGGACTAGGATGAGATATCTAGAAGGCAACCCCGCTTCAAAATCCATTACCAACAACCCAGGCCAACTTCCAGGAAAAGCAGTCCAGAACCCAAAGGAGTATGCCACTGCTCACGCCATCACTATCTGCCACGATCGAGAGCTGCCAACTCGACATGGCCCTAACTCAACCACTAGGGACAGTGTGTATCAAGATGGGGAGGATTTCTGTCAGAATGAAGATTCAGCTGAACAAGCAACAGAGGAGCCGATACTCGATCTTGATACTCGATAACCAGCTTAGGAAGCACCTCCTTATGTTGAAAAACCAGCCGCTACTACTACTAAAAAGCAAGTCTTTGTTCCCCCACCTTACAAGCCTCCACTCCCATTTCCTGGTCGATTCAAGAAGGTTCTAATACAGAAATACAGGGCTCTCTTAGATGAACAACTGAAAGATCTTGAAGAAACCATGCCTCTAGCTGATTGTCTGCTCAAACTCGATTTCCACTCTATTCTCAACAATTTTCGCTTTCTCCACTTATTTCAATTGCTTTAATCTGTTTGAAAAGAATTGTGAATGTTATGTATGAGTTTTAATCGAGTATCTTTGCTTTAGTTCGAGTGTTTCTTGTGCTTGCTTGAGAGAAACGAATTTTGTGAATTACCATAGTTCTTGCTCGAGTATAGCTCGAGTATAATCCGAGTATAGGTCGAGTATAATCGTTGTTCTGTTCTTTGTCTTTGAACTCGAGTACTAGAATAGTTTTAGGTCTAGTGCAGTTTAAAATTGCTCTAGAACGAATTGTTGCTTCTCTGTTTTGGTTTGTTTTGGCCACTAACACACTAATCTTTGGTTTTGAGTTGATTACTTTCAGGTGATAATAGGTTTTTAATTTTTCTTTATTATTATAACTATTCAAACATACAACATACTAATTGTACAACAAACACTATATAGATTTCTATATACATTCTAATCACACATGTGAATAGGTTATATAAATACTTATTATATTTTAAAAATATATTGATTTTTCTCAAAAAAATATATATATTATTTTTTAAAATAAAAATATTGTCCCGCGGTGTACCGCGGGTCAATCCCTAGTCTCTTAATATTTCTATAGACTATAGCACACAAAATTGTGCTTTAAGGAATGTAATTTTTCTCTCCTTTTCTAGTATGTGAATGTTTTTCTTATATTGGAATTTCTTATTATTTTATTTTTATACCATAAACTATTACTTTTAGTTTGCTATACCAAATTACAAATAAGCAAAAGAACCTATTTACATTATTTTTACTATTATCATTTTTATATATATATATATACGTAAATTTCATTTTTTTGCCAACAACTGAAGATTACTTGAATGGCTCAATATATATATGTGTGAATATTATTTACTTAAAAATAAAATAAAATAATTTATTTATGTATTCAGTTATACACATATCAAATTGTAGTTACATACAATAAAAATAATATATATATATATAATATTAAGTTGTATTACCAAACTAATCTTACAGCTACATTTATCATACCAACAATTCAAATTTTATTACCAAAAAAAAAAATTAAATCTTACAACCTTAAATTTTATAGATATAGCCAATACATTTACAACAAAAATCTTACCGAAGTAAACTTATAGTAACATCTGAACTAATCACCTACTTTTTTTTCACCCAAAGGTTGCAAGAACATCCAAGTATGAAAGGAAAAAGAAAAAAAAAATAATAACCTGAATGTCATTGTCATTGTCAGAATCTAACTCTGCGGCTCTGTGAGTAAATCTGGACAACGTACTTCAAATAATTCTATCCTATTCCCAAAGGCCAAAGGGATCTGTATTTCTTTTTACAACCAATTTTTTTAACCAATTAAAACCCAAAATTGAAGAGCATGAAAATATTGGCATGAAATTAAACTTCTCCGTGTCTCTTGGTCTACCACATCATATCTTTTAATCTCGCCCCCAAAAGTAGTTTTAACTTTTTCCTTAACTACTCTAAAAATGTATATGTATATAACCTATTACATTTACTGATTTTTGGTTTGCCACATAATTATTTTGATAAAATAACTATATAGATATAGTTGTATATTATAGTTATTTTGTATGCCCGTAGTTAAATTAGTAGTTGGATTAGTATTATAATGATAATTTTTGTTTCTTCAACATTATAAAAATGATAATTTTGTTTTTAATATTTATGCACTTAAATATATTCTCAGATATCCAAATTCATTAGCAATATATGTGATGTTGAGAGGGAATTCCAAATAGATTCCATTTTGAAAGTTTTTAAATAATAAAATGGTGGTAAATGAAAAATTCGAGTAAATAAATGAATAATTATTTAGGCAGACAATTGGTATAGTGGTTATTGTACATAGCAAAAAAAAGCACAGTAATATGGATGAAAAATATAACATTATTTATTTATAAAAAAAAAACCTTTACCACCACTTATTTATTCTCAACCAAAATCACAACTCTAGTACATTTAGAGTTGTCTCACTTTAAAATCAATCTAACACCAATAGGTAAAAGCTGGTGAAGACCTCCATTAATGCCCCCATTTTCCTCTCTATTACTTTTTACATATGCACCTATATATACACAGACAATCAGGTTTTCTTCTACATTCTCATCGCAGAGCAAACACCAAAACAGAGTTCACAGAACATATTCATTGATTTTTCAATATATATACAATGACGAACTCGGTGGCAAATTTGGCACTACTAGGGTTTTGCATTCTACAAGTGATGAGCTTACTTGTCCCGCAAGCAAATGCTAGGGCTTTCCTTGTGTTTGGAGATTCTCTTGTCGACAATGGTAACAATGACTTTCTTGCTACCACTGCTCGTGCCGATAATTACCCTTATGGTATCGATTTCCCAACTCACCGTCCTACCGGCCGTTTCTCCAATGGTCTTAACATTCCAGATCTCATCAGTAAGCTTTTTCTTATTCCCCAAGAAAATTAACACTCAATGTTACCAAAATTACATTAATAATAATCTGTTATAGGTGAGCATTTGGGTCAAGAGTCTCCAATGCCGTACCTTAGTCCAATGCTGAAGAAAGACAAACTCTTAAGGGGCGCTAACTTCGCCTCCGCGGGTATTGGAATCCTTAACGACACCGGAATCCAGTTTGTAAGTTCAACCGGAATAAATATTACCATCGGTTAACGGCATTCTTGATATCTTGATGCTGAGAGGTGTTTTGACAATTTCAATGCAGCTGAACATAATTAGGATCACGAAGCAGCTAGAGTACTTCGAGCAGTACAAGGTTCGAGTGAGTGGGTTGGTCGGAGAAGAAGAGATGAATCGGCTCGTGAACGGAGCTCTTGTCCTTATAACACTTGGAGGCAACGATTTCGTCAACAACTACTACTTGGTCCCTTTTTCTGCAAGATCTCGTCAATTCTCTCTTCCTGACTACGTTGTCTTTATCATTTCTGAATACCGCAAAGTCTTACGGGTTAGTTTATTAAATTACAAGCTAAATCTTATTGCTTATTCAACTAGTGATTCTATGAACTTTTTCAAAATTTCATTTCTAAGGAATACAAATCATGATTAAGAATATACTAAACTATATCAAACTGAAACTACTCTAGAAAACATTTATGGTTAAAATTAGGCAAGTCATATACTCATGTCTACCCAAGTGATACTTCAAAAAAAAAGTGTTTAAATAGGAAATCTTTCACTGTCTCCTCTAAATTCCATCAACACTTCGCCTTCACTAGTGACTAAATTGAATTAATAGTAACATCTGAGTAACATATATGTTGAAACTTTATTATCTCTTATACACAAATTCAAATTGTTTTGTAGAAAATGTACGATTTGGGTGCTCGACGTGTCCTGGTGACTGGAACAGGGCCAATGGGTTGCGTCCCGGCCGAGCTGGCTCAGCGTAGCCGCAACGGCGAGTGTGCTACCGAACTACAACGAGCCGCGTCACTATACAACCCACAACTAGTTCAAATGATTACCGACCTCAACAACGAAGTTGGATCTTCGGCCTTCATTGCCGCTAATACTCAACAAATGCACATGGACTTCATCAGCGACCCACAAGCATATGGTACTTGGTCTTATTTAATTTGTCCCTCTTAATTAATTTTATAGATTTTCCTTTTTATGAAGAGGAGAAAATTTTAATTATAATAACATTATTCTAAAACAGAGTAATATTTGATTCAACATCAAGTTATATCGGTCTTTCTTTTGAGAAAATTCATTTATTAATTTTCGTAAAGATTTAAGTTGATTTTGGTTGCGACAATGTTTTCAATAAAAAAAAGAATTATAATTAATATTATAATTTTTCGTATAGTCGGTTTTTTTGCACAAGTTTGATTTCGTTTTGGTTCAAATTTTATGCTCGCTCCTCGAATTGAATTAGTGATTTACGATATAATCTTTGGCAGGTTTCGTCACGTCGAAGGTGGCTTGTTGTGGACAAGGGCCTTACAATGGGATAGGGCTATGCACACCATTATCAAATCTTTGCCCAAACAGAGATCTCTTTGCCTTTTGGGATCCTTTTCACCCATCAGAAAAAGCAAGTAGAATCATTGCTCAACAAATCCTCAATGGCTCTCCAGAATACATGCATCCCATGAATCTTAGCACCATCCTCATCGTTGATTCCATGACCTAAGCTTCTACTCATCATCTATCCCAAATCCACTCTATGCTTTGTTTTTGTTTTGCCTTTCTCTTTTATTATGTATTTTTACATTGGTGCTTTAATTAATTTCCTTGAGTTATGTTGTGAGTTTTGTGTTGTTCATCAATAATTTGGTCACCAATTGTGAGCTGAGAAGTAATATTCAACAATCTTACGAATGTTCACTGTCGTTTTTTTGTTCAATCTTGTTTTAGTTAAATATGTATTAACTAGTTATATGTTTTCAGTGGACGTATTCATTAAACAATACAAACTAAGCAGTCACGTGGTCAGTTGTTGTACCTTACTAAATGATAGATCAATTCGTTGTCCATTTGGACATCTTATTAATATCAACCCACTCAAACTAAAAAGCCTACACTCTAAGGAAGATTGTAGCCCAAACGGTTGTCTATCACACATGGCGGCCGATGAATAATGTGGTCCACAATCAGATTTCTATACCTCCGGATATCATTTTCAAGGGCATTGATCGAGTAACAAGAAACATAATCACTGCAAGACATGAGCGCAAACGATTTCGCAATTTGATGCGACTTTGGATACAATGAAACTCTTTCATCCAATTTTCTAATTGTTTTGTCTCCTTGTTTTTTTTTTTCCAAGGATTCAAACCCAAAGGCTCCTACTTTGTAAAGCTAAACTTATTCATTTTTTTTAATGATATTAACATTCATAGCAAAAAAAAAAAAGCTATTCTTTATCCTAATTCAGGCCTATTCAACTTAGTAATATATAACTTTTTTTTTTTTAGAAACAAATAACTTTTTTTTTTATCTTCAATTTAAACAAGCGTTGGGACACTGAATTGTGTTGTTTTTTCATGATTCATAGATCAAATCAATTCAAGTAATTATTGATGATTGATGTTTAGTCAAATCAAATTAATTTAGTCACCAATTGTTCATCAATAATCGATTATTCCAATGTCCTAGACTTCAAATATATGATTGATGTTTAAATCACTTGTAATCTTAAACGTATTTCCACTTTTCTAGCAATCTAACTAGTCAACTGTCGTAGCCAAACATGATAAAAAAAAAAAAAAAAACATGTTCTCTCTTTGTATATGTGTGTGTTTGCTTATGGACAAAATTTGGCTTATAAAGAGAGTATAAAAATAATAGTATTTCTTGAAGAGAAGTGACTGGAAGTTCTGATTCAACCCCGGATAAAAGAAAGTATTATTTCTTGAAATTGACAATTCTACCTCGTTATGTTTTTCTTAATTTGTTTTTCATATGTCTTTCGTCTCTTGAATTATGTATCTGTGTATGGACGTATGGTTTTGTTTTGGGTTATAACACTAGCTCCAACTAAACCAAGCTTTACCAACCATTTTGTACATATTTTTCTTTTTTTGTTAATTAATAAATTTAACATTTCAACAAATAAAAGTAGTATTTCTAAAAAAATTTCGGTAGTAAAAAAGACTAAATTTCGAATAAAATTATGTAATTGACTTCTCAGTTTTGTTTCCATCGTATATAAACTAAAGAGAGTGTTGAGATAGACAATAAAATATTTATCGAAACTTAGTTGATAAAAGGATTTTTGGAAACAAAGGAGCAAACTTAGTCGCCTATGAAAGGCGATTCTATTACATGTTATAGTCCTGCCTGAGGGAATGAAACAAAAGAAATTCAAATAACTACTTAAGGCTCAAATGAAATCAGCCATATGCTGAGATGAACCATCTACAACTTTGCACAATCCGTTGGTTTAAATGACATCGTTTTGGAAACAGTGTCGTATCCAACAAGAAAGTTCTTCTGCGCCACATTCCCGTATATCCCATTCCTAGAAAAGCTCATGCCAAAGGCCAAGCAAACCAAATCATCTGTGACTTTAAAAAATGAATTATAGGGATAAAGCTTCACATCTGCTCCTTCGAAATGCATAGTAATGACTGGGATATTCAGATCTGCGGTTGCATTGTAACACAGACTCGAACCAATTCTTTCATCTTTCGACTTCTCTGCATTGATTAAGGACGCAACAGCATTCTCAATATCGAAATAATATTTCACTGGTAGAAGCGTTAGAGTTGTGCCCGAATCGATGACCATGTTTCCCTTGGTATCTGAGTTTGGGGTTTGCATATTCTTGCTTCCCACGCTAATAGATTTTAGGGTTAGATAATAGAAGGTCTCTCGAGACTTCAAGACCAAAGGAGTTGAGACAGTTCCCGGTCCCGACACAACGGCATTAGTTCCGAAGTTGATCTTGCTCGTTTGATTATTTTCAGGTACCAAGCAGTATGAGAATTTACCGTCGATGGAGTCTCCGAGTTGCTTAATGAGCGAAACTGCACCACCACCAAGTCCAACGACTCCAGAGCTCTTGTTTCTAAATGTTACAGCGTTGTTGTGACCACAACCGATGATAATATTCTTAAGCTGCATCGGGCGGTTATCGGTGGAGCCGAGTGTTAAGGTATCCACAGCGACCTTACCCTCTGTGTATGAGCCATCCCCGTAAGATATACCGTAAGAGCAAGTTTTATCTTCTGTGGAACAAGGGGCTTCACCTTTTAGGGCACTACATTGGCTTGAGGGGCAAGAAACGTTTTTGTATGTGGAAGACGCTTTAGGGTCAAAGAGAGGATCAACTTGAGTGTAACAATCATCACAGGGTTTGCACTGCGTCCAGATGAGATCACTTCCAGTGTCAGCGACCGCCATGAACGGGGAAGGAGGTGTTCCAAGGGATAGGTTCATGAGATATTCACCGCCACATGGGGTGATATCAGTTTGTGGTGAGTTAAGTGATGCATCCATTTCAGAGAGATCAGTGAAATGCGAAACACGGTTAAAGGATCGGTTGATCGCGTTTCTCATACGCTGGGAAGGGGTTTCCGCCGGGTTATAGAATGGCGATTTAGGAGAATCGCGGTGGATCAGATCGGTGGTGAAACCTAGTTTTGGTTTGGCGTTTACGTTTGAGAGAATATGTGAAGAGAATAAACATAGAGACAAGAGAACTGAAGTGAATAGAGAGACCATTTTCTTGATTTTTAGTTTAAGTGAATGGTGAGTTTTTACTTTTGACAATCTGATAAGTAGTATTTATAAGCTATATATATTAGATAAGGATTCATAAATGGTTATACATGATGAAATTCTTACGTTTTTAGTAAATTATCTACAAATTGTATTATTTACGTTTACAGCATCAGACAAATAAGAAACAATAAAAGTGAAGATTTTTTCATTTTAATGCATATATTTTCTTGACCAGGAGTGTACCATTCATTCATATGGACGTGTTTATGGTTTAATTGGTACGTAGATCTCCATGTTATGTTATCTACAGCTGGATTTTTATGATTCATCATCTTCTAATTTGGGCCATGTATCATTCACCTAGATAAGTACAATGTATGTTTTTTATTAAATTTATTGTGTAGGTCTAAATATTCATTTACTTGATGATTATCCCTGTTATGTACAAAGAAAATTAACTTTAAAAAACTTGATGATTATCCCTGTTATGTACAAAGACAATTAACTTAAAAATGTTTGTTAGATCATTTGAGAGGAATTAAAAAATCAGTACATCTTAAATTTAGTGATCACTTTAGGTATTCATTTATCTTAATAATATAAGTAAATATATATTCTTAGAATATCTTGCTTTAAGTTGCGAGAATGTGACTAAAATGAATGCAGAATGAGTAGAATAACGAGTGAGAATGAAGAATGAAAGAGAGAGAGTTTGCGAGAATGAAAACGAAATATGTGGAGAAAGAGATTTTTTTTTTCTTACTAAAATAAGTTCGTAAGTACAAACTACTCGTAGACATTACAAAAGGAATAAAGAATTACATTAAACCTAGATATATATGCACCAGTTGCTAGGGTGAAAGCGACATGATATAAGGTTGCTTATTCCAAGTTTTTCCAAGATTATCTGGAGGTTATTTGCTCGATCCGAAGGTGAATGAGCTAAGTCTTGGATACTTTCTCGATTCTTCTCATCGTAGTACCCTTTTATTTCAATAAACTTGATATCTAGAGAGATAAGAACCCTACTTGTCTCCGGAATGTAACACTTGTACCTTTTTTGTGTAGTAGACTAGCTGATGAACATGCCCTTGATACTCTTAGCTTCAATCTTAGTTCTTTGTTCTCCGAGAACTAACACAAAACAAACACAACCAGACACACGTAAGTGATTAATAGAGGGTTTAGTTTGATTAAGTACCTCATATAGAGAAGTATCTTGTAAGATCTTTGTCGGAGTCCGATTGATCTTGTAACATGCCAAGACCACCGCATCATTCCAAAACTATTTTGGGACATTGGTATGGAACACCATGGACCGTGCTACTTCCATAAGGTGTCTATTCTTTCTCTTTGCCACACTATTTTGTTGTAGAGTGTGTGGGAAACTAGTTTGGTGAACTATTCCATTCTTGCACTACAGGAAAATCAGGAATTGATAACGTCCATAAAACGCTATATATCGCTAGAGTAGCGTATTTAGAAACGCTATATCATCGACCGCGACAATAGGTAAATGACCTATCATAGCGGTTTTCAGTTATGCTACCGTAGTTCTTTTTAATATAGCGTTTTAATAAATGCAATTGTATAGTTTACAATAGCATTGTAATTATGTTATAATTTATTTCATTTTACGTCATAATTGATACTTATATTGTAGCATTTTTTTGGTTTGCTATAAATTGAGATGTTATCTATTGTTGTTAATGTGGACCTGTGTAATGAATTATTCTATATTTGGATTTATCCCCCAATAATTTCGCATAAGCAAAAAGAAATTCATAAACCTGAAGATGTTTCATAATAACCAAAATACATGTTTCAATCCAATAACAAAGTACAGTCATACTGAACACAAACACAAGTTCAAATGTAAACGAGTTTGTCATTTGGCCAAGCTATTATACTACCCAAAGCATCAGCAATGATTTTAATTTCTGAATTTGCTCTCCAAACTGGTGCTTCATCAATGGTAGGGACATCAACCCATACCTTGCTTGCATTAAGACCCAAGGGGACATGATGAACTCTATCTTCTGGATTTGATGATAAAACTCGACCTTCTGCAACCTTTTTTCCTGATCCATTGCAATCCAAGAGGATGCACTTCTTTTTCTCATTTTTGCTGTTGTTAGAGCTGTTACTGACACTCTACAAAAGAAAAATTTCAGACACTTAATCACAAGTCCAATTCCAACAACAAATCATTCAGTAACTAAGAAAATTCCAGAAATATTACCACAAGTCCAATATTTCAACAACAATCCAGCATATCATTTTTAAGACTGAGATGATTTAGAGTCTTACCCCAGGAGATCTACTTTTTGAACTCGTTTTATCCTTGATTGCTTCTATATTAGCATTTTGGCTATTATGGATTGGCCATGGGTCATAATCTTCTGCATCTGCAGCCTATGGAGCAATGTACAAAAAACAAAACCAACAGTACATTAGTTATTAACATGTTCAACTACATGTTAAGCTAAAAAAAACATAACCAACAGTACTAGAATATTAAATCTTACCGATGAAGCAGCAGTCTTATTTGGTGGAGAGTTCAGATCATTGTCCAAAATGAGCTTATCAAGTTGCCATGCAATTTTTGTTCCAACAGCTTGGCCAAGTGTGGTAACAGTTGTCGTAGGCCTCCACACAGATGCTTCTGCATCTATAACTGACTTAACCAAAATAGCACCTGCATTACGACCAAGTGGAATGCGTCCAATCTTGTAATTTTGTTCAGCTGAGCAGAATTCTCCTTCTCCAATGATAACATCATCAGGTGAACACCAGTCCAAAATCTGACACCTAGGTCCTCCTTTGGAAATATCACTAACCTCAGAATTAGAGACACCATCATGTGGTTTCTGATAGAAAAAGAAAAAGAACAGTTAAAAAGCAATGATAGTTAAATAACAATGATTTAAAGATAACTTACAATAATAAAGATGATGTTAACTTACAGTTTTTGATGCAGCTAAGCCACGGACTACATCCTGCAAGCCACGAACTACATCATGCAATTCAGCTTGTTTAGCTTCAAGCTTTTGTACATGTGAATCCCTGGCCTGCATGAATGCTATCTTCGTAGCAGTTATACCTCTGCCCATTCCTCTAATTCTTCCTGGTTTATCTTTTCCTAAGACTTGACTCACAGCATCTTCTTTAACACTCATACTAGCAGTGGATTCCATTTCACTATCAATCGATTTGATTTTTTCCTGATTTCAAATATTTGATCATCAACTAGAAGAAGCTAAAAGACTAAGACACTTAAAATATTTTGATTGCTTACAATGGTCTCTTCAAACTCTGGCCTCACAGGTCTCCCATCTGAATGAGTGTTTCCTACTACCCAAACCTTACTCCTAGTCACTTTTGATGGGTCTGAACTCTTTTTCTTCTACAATTAAGTAACAAAGAATATCACATATCACAAGTACCTGAAGTCTTTATTAAATCTTCTACTAAATAGATAATAGTAAAAAAAACAGTATCTATACCATTTCATGTGTCAAGCGAACCATTCCTTTGCGGCTAGTAGTGTGGGGAATCTGACTTCTCCGCAATTCCCTGAATCTATCACTTTGGACCTTCAAAATAAAACCAAACAGTAAGATTACAATCTCCTTAACAAAACATCTATTTAAATATACAGTTGAACCTAAACAACCTTAAAAGCTTTGTCTTTCTTCATCTTAAAAACTTTGTTAACCATCAGAAACTAACAGCTAGTAATAAAAACTGCAAGTCAATGACACACAATCTAATAATCCTAGCACAACTAATCAACTACTAGGACCCCTTCACAATCATTCCTAACACAGAAACTTTCATCATCAGAAGATTCATTCCCCAAATCTTCATTGTCTTCTATAGATATTGGTGCAGCAACAAACTCTTCTTCGGTCTCTAACTCGTGATACCCTCTTGGTGGTGCCCTCATAACTACAAACCAAGGTGATGAGTCAGTTTCTCTGGAGTAAAACACTTGTTTTGCTTGAGAAGGCATAATGAATGGATCTTGGAGAAATGCTGCTTGGTTTAAGCTGAAGTTAACAAGTGTAAAGCCATCTTCTTCCTTCAGACCATTCCCTTTATTAGCCCACTTACACTTGAATAATGGAACCTGGAACATGTGATAGTCCAGCAGTATTATCTCTTGTATCACTCCAAAGTAAGAAACTACGTCCGCCACTTGATTAGTATCTTTTGCAGTTGATCTACACATAGTGAAAGCTTCATATGCTACTCCACTGTTCTGAGTCTTCCGCTTTAAGTCTTCTGTGTGAAATCGATGACCATTGATGATATAACCCTTATAGCTTTCAACATTATGTCTTGGACCAAATGCTAACCATCTCAGCTTTGCCGAATGCTCTTTTGAGTTAGTAGGGATCTGATGACAATAAAAAAGAAGATGATACAATATCAATATTTACAAAGATAACTTACTCAACATATGGATTTAGCACTGCCGTATTCATTAACACATATCTGTGAGCAATGTCACGCTCTTTATCAGATAGTGTAACTTCTTTAGCCTTAAGAATTGGACGCCCTTCAAGTATATTCTCATCTAAATCAACATCTTCATTACGATTTGCAGACTCTAGAACTGGTACAGATGACTGGAGAAACTCCAAGCAAAAACCAATACATTCAGCTGCCAAATATCCCTCTGCCATACATGCTTCTGGCCTTGCATAGTTCTTGACATACGACTTTAGTGTTTTCATGTACCTAAGTATCAATCAGATAACAACTATGTCAGATATTTTCTAACAAAAAATGTAATATCAAAAGAGAAAAAGCAGAAAGCTCTTTACCTTTCAAATGGATACATCCATCTAAAGTGTACCGGTCCACCCAAACGTGCCTCTCTTGCTAGATGTATAGGAAGATGGAACATTATAAAAAGAGAAGGAGGAAAAAACCTTTCCATTTGGCACATCGTCTCAACAAGCTCAAACTCCAAAGTTATAAGCTTCTCCGGATCAATTACACGCTGACATAGTCTACTAAAGAAGTTGCATAATCTAGTAACTACAGTCCTCGGTCCTTTGGGCAGCAATCCTCTCAATGCAACAGGTAACAAGTTTTGCAGAAGAACATGATGATCATGAGACTTCAAACCACCAATTAGAGGAGGATCAAGTGAGACATAATTGGCGATATTCGCACAGTAGCCATCTGGTCCTCTGAATTCGGATAGCCTCTTGCAAAATATCTTCTTCTCTTCCTTGCTCAACCAATAAGCAGCTGGAGGCAAATATGTTTTCTTCCCACGTTGCTCAGCGTGTAAGTTTTTTCGAATCCCTATATCTTCCAAATCTTGTCTTGCTTTCAAACCATCTTTTGATTTAGCATTGTGCATCAAAAGAGAAAGAATGGCGTCAGACACATTCTTTTCTACATGCATAATGTCGATGTTGTGACGGACCGGCATATCCTAACACGTCAAACAAAACAAGAAATAATGGTTAGAAAATTATAAGAATTTTAAAGTTACTTGACACATATTAATGTTGACAGAGAACTAACCTTCCAGTAAGCTAATTCAAATAGTATAGACCGTTTCTTCCACCTCCATTGGTCAGCATCTTCTTCATATTCTTCATGGGTAAGCTCCTCCCCTTCACCAATATCTGATCTTTTCCTTTTCTTCTTCTTCTCCAAAGGTTTCCCGAATTCATTCTTGAAGTCCCTAAGCAGCTCAAAAATCTCAGCTCCTGTTTGAACTCTATTAGCAGTCCCTTCTTCTATTGTATTGTCAAACCAAATTTTTCGGCGTCGGTAAGGATGCCCAGGCCTAAGTCATTTCCTATTGCCCAAATAGACGTGCTTTCGACTAAACTTCAGCCATCTAAAAGGAGTATCCTTTCCACATACATTACATGCTTGTTTACCTTTGACCTTACAACCAGCCAAAGTTCCCAAACCTGGATAATCGCTGATACTCCACAATAGTATAGCTCTAAGTGTGAAATTCTGCTGGGATAATGAGTCATATACCTGGATACCTTCATTCCACAATTCATTCAGATCATCAATCAAAGGAGCAAGATAAACATTGATGTTGTTACTCGGTGCAGTTGGTCCAGGAATCAGAAGGGTTACCATTATGTTCTCTGACTTCATACACATAGTTGGAGGCATATTATAGTTGACTAAGAACACTGGCCATGTGCTATACTTGGTGTTCTGGATAGCAAACGGATTCATCCCATCTGTAGATATACCAAGTCGAAGGTTTCTGGGGTCTGCAGCGAATTCTGGCCATTTAGCATTGACTTGTGCCCAAGTCAATGAGTCCACAGGGTGTCGCATTGTTCCATCTTCAGAAGCATTACTGAAATGCCATTGCAAATTCTTAGCCATTATCTTCGATCTAAACATCCTCTTGAATCTTTCTTTTATAGGGAAATACCTGAGTACCTTTGATGGAATCCCATTCTTTGTCTCACCAGAATGCTTATCAATTTCCCATCTTGAAGCACCACATCTTGGACAGCTACTCAGCTCCTCGTACTGCTTTCGGTAAAGAATACAATCATTCTTACAAGCATGTATAACATCATAACCAAAACCAAAGATCTTCAAGAATTTCTTGACCTCAGATGTGGTTGTTGGAAGCACATTACCATCAGGAAGCATGTCATGAACCATATTCAAAAGCTGGTCAAAATAATTCTCTGAAATCCCACTCTTAACTTTAATGCGGTAGAGACCCATGATTGCTGCAACTTTGGTGTAGTTTGGGCAGCTCGAGTACAGAGGCGTTTCTGCATCCTCTAATTTCTTCTTAAACTCAGATTCTTCTTCACATTCAACCACTTCAGGCTCTTCTCCATTCTTATTCTGTTACTGGTCTTCATTGTCAAAGAAGGCAGACCTAAACAACTCATAGGCTTCTAACTCAGCATGTTGATCATCAACTGTCTTCTCATTTCGTGTCTCTCCATGAATACTCCAACAAGATTTCCTCTTGTACTTCTGATCCATTCCTCTAATTACCAAATGATCCACTACTGTGTTTATATCTTCATGGCATACATTCCGGCAATCGATACAAGGACAAAACAACTGCAGAGGATTACCCAACCTCTTTGCTGATGCATACACAAAAGCACGTGCACCTTCCTCATACTCAACGCTTGCCCTGTAACAAAGTTAGATTAGCATTAGATTCTGACCAAAGTAAAATACATATACAAATCAGACATAGAAAGAAATCATACCTCGGAAGCCAAACCCAAGCCTTGTCCATGTTACAAAACCGCAACAGCTCCCAGACAAAGGTACATAAGCAAATCAGACAACACAAAAAGAAATCATAAACCTAAATCGAAACATAAGAACACATAAAACTAAATCGAAACCCTGAAACAAACAAAACCCCTAAGAATTTAACCCCAAATCGAAAACCTAATTGAAACAAACAAAAACCCTAAGAAATTAACCCCAAATCAAAACCCTAAAGAAATTCTCTCTTTTATCGAAAATCTCTTGTAGAACCAAAAACAAACCTTCAATCGAAAACTTTTTCTTCAGTCGATTAGAAACATGCACGAACACAGCTGCGAGAATAGAAGAATAGCTGCGAGAATAGAAGAATAGCTTTACAAATCAATGTCGATGAGAAACCAGAGGGAGATTGAGAACAGATAGTGAAAAGGAGAGTGGAGGAAGATGAAAGAGTATCGAGAGGGAAAACGAGAGAGGGAAAACGAGAGAGGGAATGAAAAAAAATTCTAAGTGTTAAGCGGGCCAAAAATCCAACTAATAAGTTTTTGCCGCTCTCACATTATACAGCGTTTTTAAAAAATTCTGCTATATATTCTAAGCGTTACTATTTTAATTGATTTAGGTTTATGATCCATAGCGTTTATAAATTTTGAAACGCTATCAAAAACTTAAACATAGCAAAACATCACTGAACGCTATAATTCACTGCTATCAATACCTAAGTTTCCTGTAGTGTTGGTTAGGTATTTCTTGAAGGCATGATTTTTTTCCTCATACTCTCACCATTAACTGATCTCAAAATTTTAATCTTGCCATTATAATGGTTAGTAACAGTCTGGAAAATTTGTAAATGCTTCAAAAACTCTATCCTTAGATGGAAGTAGTGTTAACTAAGTAAATTTCGATTGTTCATCAATGAATGTAACAAAGTACTTATGACTTTCTCTAGATGCACAAAGAGATGTCCACACATCCGAATGAATCAAATCAAAGCATTTTTCATAAATAATAATAGACTTAAGGAACATGGATTTTCAATGTTATAGCGAGAATACAAGCTTCACATTCATTGTTTTTGAAATAAATACTTGGTAACAACAAGCTTAAAGCACAAGAATGGGGGTGACCTAATCTAGCATGTCAAATAGCACTATTAGCACTACTAAGAATTGAACTAAAAAGAGAAGAGAAGGGTGTGGATGCAAGCTCTCCTTTTTTAGCCGGGAAAAACTCCCCCTTACTTCCAACCAAACCAAGAGGTGTTTTGCTCTCTTTTCACTTGAGAACATACGTCTTCAAGACTTGGAAGCTTATCGTCTCTTCAGAGGTTCTTTATGAGGTCGTTTTAGGTCGAATTCAAGGTCAAGAGAAGACCTCTTCTCTGAATACCTTATCTTGCTCACATTGTTCATTGAAAACCATCGGAACTATGGAGCTTGGTCGTAGGTAGCATCTCAAGCTCGGCCATAAACACCGAAATTTTCCGAAGTGTTGAGTGAACTCCATGTCTTCTTGGCAAAGTTCGTTGATAGCTTTCTTTACTTCAAAGACTCGACTCAAGTTGGAGATATTACAATAGACTATTTTTCAAGTCTCCCAAAGATACTTGGCAGTTTCACTATAGGAATACTACCCTTCAAGGATTGAAGCTTCAAGAGAGTTTTAAATGACAGCTAAGACCATTTGATCCTCTTGGAACTATTTATCTTCATCGACAAGGACTATTTTCATGCCTTCTCTTGTTGTTGTCTCCTTTGGTGCTTTATTCTTCAAGATATGAGCCCAAAGTCTGCAGATACACAAGGTGGTTTTTGTGGTCCTTGACCAAGACAAGTAGTTTCCTCCTTTGCGGGTAACCGGAACAAGCAATGACTTTGCGTTTTTCATGGTGAGAATAGATTTGACCGATGGCCAAAGCTTTTCACTGGAGGGTAAAGAGAATGTTGACATGAGAAGAAGAAGATCTTGAGAAAAGAGAATCGAATGAGTGTATACAGAAATTATGGCTCTGATACCATGTTAGAATATGGAGTTTTAGGTTGCGAGAAGAGACTAGAATGAATGCAGAATGATCTGAGACATATGGCGCTTAAGTGAATTTTTTCTCCTAAGTATTGTTGGAATAGGTGACTTTAGCTTCCCGCTTAGTGATTTTCTATCTTAGCGTTGTTTCAGTGCTATTATATAGTAATCAAAATAAATAAAAAGATATCTTTTATAGCAGTTACAAAAAATAAGCTATGCTCATATGCCATCAATGTGGATATTTCTTGTAGCATGAGTAGAATAACGAGTGAGAATGAAGAATAAAAGAGAGAGAGTTTACGAGGATGAAAACGAGATTTGTGGAGAAAGATATTTCACTTTTTCTTGCTAAAATAAGTTCCTAAGTACAAACTACTTATAGACATTACAAAAGGAATAAAAAAATTACAATAAACCTAGATTTTTATGCACAAGTTGCTAAAGTGGAAGCGACATGACCTCAACGACATGCAAATTGAGCTTTCACAGTAACAGAACAGTTTTGAAGAGTCAAAAGTTTAACATCAGACAGAACACTTTCCACCATCAATTTAGAGGAATTGGTCGGAAACAAACTCGATATGAGAATGTCTTAATGTCCATGAAAGATAAGCACATCAAGTAATCCTGAAAATTAAATAAAATACAAACGGAATCATATAAATAATTTTTTTTAGATTATTATAGTTTCTTTTATGTTGATAAAATCTTCTTATATTATATTTTGATTTTCAATTTCTTTAAGAAATAGAAAATAGAAAACATAAAGAAAATTTCAAACTAAAGAATTCCCAATATTATCAATTTTAAACTAAAGAATTCCCAATTTTATCACTTAATTTAAAATGTATAATATAAATATGGAAAGAAGAATTTCATTTTCTTCCTAAATATATAGATTAATAAAAACTAATTTAAAAAATATACATTCATATAAAATATATTGATTTCTTTTAAGAAAATTATAAATAAAACTAAATGTATTATAAATAATAGTTGAATATTATCAAAATATTTATCAATAATCCCACTGAATATAATAAAAGTATAGAACACATCAAAATAGAATAGTAGGAATAATATAAATCCTTAATCACATTCCTCTATTTCTGATAAGGTTTTTTAATCATATAATAATATAATAGACACAAAAAAAGTAGTATTTTTAGATTTTATTATTAATAAGAAAAACTAAATTTTAGATAAAATTATAGAATTGTCTTGTCATATTGGTTTACATCATAAAGATGATTATAACCTAAACAAACTATAGAGATTGACAAGGAAATAGTTACTGGAAATAAGGTTTTCATGGTTATAATTGTAATTGAAATTTCAAAGAAATACAAAGCATCACCAAGAGATCAAAAGGTCGAGAGTTTAACTCTCCCTTGGAAAGATATACTACTACATGCGAATCAAAAAATTCAAAAGAACTAAGGCTGAAATTAAATCAGCCATTATTATAATTGAAAACATAATTGTGAAAAACAGAAACAATGTTCAACCATCTACATCTTTGCACAATCTGTTGGCTTAAATGACACCGTTTTGGAAACAGTATCGTATCCAACAAGAAAGTTCATCTGCGCCACATTCCCGTATATGGAGAAACTCGGGCTCCCGCGGAAGGCAAAGCAAACCAAATCCTCTGAGACTTGTACAAAGCAATTGGAGGGTTTCAGCATCACATCTGCTCCATCGAAATGCATAGTAATGGCTGGAACTTTAAGATCACCGGTTGCACTATAACACAGACTCAAACCGGTTTGTGGATCTTGTTTCTTCTCAGCATCGATTGAGGAAGCAACCGCATCCTCGAGCTCGGAGTAAAATTCGGTGGGTAACAACGTTAGGGTTGTGCCCGAATCAATGATTATGTTTCCCTCGCCAGTTCCAGAATCTGAGCCAGGGTATTGGACTTCCTTGCTTCCCACGCTAATGGATTTTAGGGTTAGATAATAGAAGGTCTCTTGAGACTTCGCAATCAAAGGAGTTGAGACAACTCCCGTTCCCGACACGACAGCATTGGTTCCGAAGTTGATTTTGCTTGTTCGATCATTTTCAGAAGTTAGAGGAACCAAACAGTATGAGAATTTACCGTCGATGGAGTCGCCGAGTTGCGTGATGAGCGAAACCGCACCACCACCTAGTCCGACGATTCCAGAGCCCTTCTTGTTAAAGGTTCCAGCGTTGTTGTGACCACAACCAATAATAATATTCTTAAGCTGCACCGGGCGGGTATCGGTGGAGCCGAGCGTTAAGGTATCCACGGCGATGTTACCCTTTGTGTATGAGCGATCTCCGTAAGACGTTGAGTAAGAGCAAGTGTTGTCTTCTGTGGAACAAGAGGCTTGATTTTCTAGGGCATTACATTGGCTTGAGGAGCAAGAAACGTCTTTGTATGTGGAAGACGCTTTAGGGTCAAAGAGAGGATCAACTTGAGGGTAACAATCATCACAGGGTTTACACTGCGTCCAGAGGAGATCACTTCCGGTGTCAGCGATCGCCATGATCGGGAAAGGAGGTGTCCCAAGGGATATGTTCATGAGATATTCACCACTATTTGAGGTGAGGTCAATTTGCGGTTCGCTATCCGATGCATCCTTTTGAGAGATATCAGTGAAATGGAAAACACGGCTAACGGATCGGTGGATAGCGTTTCTCAAACGCTGGGAAGAGGTTTCCGTCGGGTTATAGAATGGCGATTTAGGAGAATCGCGGTGGATCAGATCGGCGGTGAAGCCTAGTTTTGATTTGGCGTTTGCGTTTGAGAGAAAAGGTGAAGAGAGTAAACAAAGAGACAAGAGAACTGAAGAGAATAAAGAGGCCATTTTCTTGATTTGAAGTTTAAGTGAATGGTGAGGTTTTACTTTTGACAATCTAATGAGTTCATATTTATAATATGTTAATGAGATGGTGGTCAATAACTAATAAATAGTGAATTCTTACGTTTTGAGTAAGTTATCTGCAAATTATATCATTTGTGTTTAGAGAATCTGACAAATAAGAAACAATAAAACTGAAGATTTGATGCACATATTTTTTTCCTCACGAGGAGTGTATATATATCATTCATTCATATGGACGCGTTTATGGTTTTCTTGTATATCTCCATGTTATTTTATCACTAAATGCTAACATATTTTCTTCTTCTTTAATTAAATCCTAGATTCTTCATTAAAGTATTCAACGAATGTAACTGGATATTTTCATAATATAATGATTCCTGATCTTTTAATTTTGGTCATGTATCATTAGGTTAGGTATGTACAATGTGTGACTTTAGGTAAAACAAATATTCATTGACTAATTGATGTTCAATCCGTGTTATGTACAAAAACAATTAACTTAAAAATGTTTGTTAGATCAGTCTACTTTTTAAAAAAAAAATGGATATCGTTCCAAAATATCAATAAAATAAAAATAGAGAATCTTTTGAATATAATTTGAAGATCAGTACCTACTAAATTTAGTGATAAATTAAAGGATTTATTATCTATCTTAATATATATATATGCTTTTATATGATAACATTGTGATAATTCTATTAAATTAAAAGTTTGACTATATATATAGTCATAATTTTTTAATGTTTCCTACCAAAAAAATAATAATTTTTTAATGTAAGAGAATTATCAAAAAATAAAAATATAGCATGTTATCAATACAATTAAAACAAAATAAGTCTCTCCTTACCAAAAAAAATAAATAAAAATAAGTCTCTACAGTATTGACACATAAGCCATTTTGTGTTACAAAAAAACTCACACATCATTAAAAAGATAAACCAATCAAAACAAAACAATTCATACACATAAACTCCAATAGTGACACATCAGCTCCAGAAGTGACACATCAGCCGGACAAATCATTAAGGAGACAAACCAATAATAAAAAAAACAATTAATATACATCAGGTAATATATTGCACAAAATAAAAACATCTATATCGACACATTGACAAATTTATTATATGGAGTTTATCAAATATCTAAATGTAAACTTTAAATTTATAATTACTTTACAATTAAAACAAAATATGTCTCTTTAACATTGACACGTCAGTCATTTTATGTTATAAGAAGCTGACATATTATTAAAAAGATAAACCAATCAAAACAAAACAATTAATACAAATAAGCTCCAATAGTGACACATCATTGAAGAGACAAACCAATCATAACAAAACAATTAATATACATCAAGTTACTTTGCACAAACAAAAATAATGAAAAAAATAACAAAACATTAGAGCATTGGTAACGCTGAAACACTGATTTGTGTTCTTAACATTATTTTATTAAGAAGAGAGAGAAGAAAAAAAAGAAAGAAAAAAGAAGAAAAAAAGAGGACTAATACACAAAAGACACGTGCTCATAATACTCTTAGAACACCTTAAGAACAGTTCTCGGGGAGGAACACAATTCCACTTTGTCTTATACTGTTCAAGCCTTTTATTAATTTAATACTCTTAGAACACCTGATGTGTTTTGGCGATGCATATGGTCTTAGGTTATATTAACACGTTGACAAAGTTTATTAAATAGAGTTTATAGTTGTTTTTAGATCATTAAGACGTTTATCATAAAACTTAACAATCAACAATGTCCGATTCAATTTACCCATTTTACAATTATAAGAAATAGATTATTTACCAAAACAAATATCTTAATTTAAACGATTTTACACATTTTATGACTAGGTTTCAATTTTTTCTTCAGAAATTCATCTAGCGAATCAATAGAAACGAGTATCTTTATTGTCTTCAAGAGTATTTTTTAATTGAACGCTATATCAGATTATTAACTTTTTAAGCGCTAAATACAAATTGTGCGATCAATACGTAATTGTTTGTTTAATAAATATTTAGATGTATAAAGGTCACTCTGCTAACATCAAGGTTGTGACTTTTGATCATCAACGAATATGATAAAAGAAAATATAAGAGATTCAAAGAACTAGAAACATTGCATAAATGGAAGAATGATTTTATATTAAAAAATTATGCATACGAAAAATTATGTTAAATAATTATTTAGATCTAATGGTTTAATGAATATTTTTTAAAAAATGAAAGATTATGTTAACAAAATTTTAGTGTGATTCAAATTATGGTCAGTGCCGGCTTAACTAAGAGGGCAGACAGTATAATGTTAAGGGGCCCACAAACTAAGGATACCAGAATTTATTTATTTGTAAGATTACTTGCATTGGAGGTATTGAAAAAAAAAAATCAACTGTTTAGTGACAGTTATGGAATGTTGAAAATGAAGAAAAAGCAACGTTGATTCAGAGATGTTGAATTTATTCAACAGGTTGAAACTTTTCACACGCGCGCTACCCATGAAGCGTCTACATTTTTTTTTGTTTTTTCCAAATAAAAAATAAATAACTAAGATGATGACACTTGTTATATTGTTATTGGCAGTTGAAATATTGGAGATTTTATCTCATCCTATCTATTTAGGATCAATTATTATATAACAAACAATTTTCTTAAAAAGCTTTTTGTATGAAAATTCATAATTTTTTTAAGCTCTATAAATAGTGACTTGTGTTGGGGTCGGATCCCACACACTTTCGATAGGATCCACTTGGATTTGTCCACGTCATTATTAAATAATAATCCTCTTGGATTTCTAGATGTTTTATTGGACTTAACCAGTTGGGAGTTCGATTCAGTTTATTAAAGAGCTCGATCTTTGCCAGTATGGAGTTCGCTCTTATTCGACAGACAGTTCGCATAGAGAAAGGCCGAAGCGAGGAGAATATTGTTCGGGGCTTGCGGAAGCGTCAAGACGCGGGAGTTCGGAGTCAACAAGAAAGAGTTCGGAAGATCCACACGAAGCCCAAGATAGTTCAAATTCAAGCCGTTTTGGTCAAATTGTAACTTACATAGTTAATGCGGATCAACGCGATTATGAGCAGTAAATGACCGCATTAATCATGTTTTCTCTATAAAAACAACCTCAAACGCATGTGTTTGGGGGAGACACAATCTTTTACTCCTTACTATCAAGCAATACTACATACTTTATCTCTTACAATTTCGCAAGGCTTTTTATATTTTCGTTCTTATCAAATTCCTTTACTTTATTCTTTTCTTGGTTAATTTCTCTTTCGAATTCTTATATTCATCCATTGATTTTAGAGTTTTTCTCCACAAAAATACTTAAAGACAATCGAGTGTGAATCCTACATCCACATTTTGGCGCCGTCTGTGGGGAGTTACCACAAAACTCTTTAATCTCAAAATTTGTCTTTCTCAAACCAAGAAACTATGTCTGATCAGCAAGCTTTGAGCGATACAATAACCTCGCTTAATCAGGCAACCGCTAGTCTGACCACTCAGATTGGTACACTCGCTGATGCCAACACCACTTTTAGTGAGAGGTTGAATTCAATCGAGCAAACCTTAACGAGTGTTCAAACCACCCAGACAAATTTGTAAAACGCGCAGAATGTTGTTTCAAGCCGTTTAGATAATTTGTCCTCAGCGCGAACAACAACGTATCAGCGTAGGCTATTCGCGACTCCCGCGCAAAACAGGACCGGGAATACTCAAACTCCTCCCGCAGGCCGTCCTGCTAGTGCTAGCAATCAGGCAGCCGTAGGAGATGGGTCCAACCCAACCGGGGATGAAATTCCCCAAAATCAGGGAAATCCTGCTATTGACGACAGACTCCTTATGGAAGATCCTGATGTCATCCTTTCAGATGATTTCGTCAAAGTTCGTCAAGAACTTGATGAAATGAAATCGAATTTTCGTCAGGCGACCAGTTCGGCGCCTGAGATCGATCGAGTAATCGAAGAAACTCGGCGAACCTGTTCACTTCAAGAATCTCGAACCTTCGGATCAAGGATTCTCGAAAGGTCAAATTACCAACTTATGATGGTAAAGGCGATCCTAAAAATCACCTCGCTGCTTTTCAGATCGCTGCTGGCAGAATTGATCTAGAACCAGACGAGGAAGATGCCGGATATTGCAAACTATTCTCCGAGAATCTATCCGGATCGGCTCTACTATGGTTCACTCAGTTGGAGCCTGGAACTATTGATAGTTTTAAGGAATTGTCCTCCGCATTCCTAAAACAGTATTCCATGTTCATGGAAAAGACAACCTCTGACGCAGATCTTTGGAATTTAACCCAAGGTCAGAATGAACCACTTCGCAAATATATCGCTAAATTCAAAGAAGTGATAGCCAAAATTCCTAGGGTATCGCACGCTGCTGCCCTTTCTGCTTTAAGGAACAGACTCTGGCATGAATCCCGATTTCGGGAAGAAATCATCGTCAATCGTCCGAGCACCATCCAAGATGCTTTATTCAGAGCTACTAATTGGATGGAGGCAGAAGAAAAAAAACTTAGCCTCGCTAAAAAGCATCGGTCAGCAAAGTTGGTCGTTGGAAATCCAACTAAAAAGTTCGAACCGAAAGATCAAAAACGGTTCGGAGTTAATCCTGCTACTAATGCCGTAGGGAAACCCTCCCCAAGCAGAGGAAGATACAATCCTCCTAATACTTGGGTTAGAGATGAGAGTGCCTATTGCGATATTCACAGAGTAAACGGGCACTCCACCAAAGATTGTAGCGTACTCAAAAAGCACCTCACCGAACTGTGGGCAGCCGGAGAGCTCGCTAATTTCAATATCGAGGAATTTGTGGAATCTTATCATAAAGAAAACGAAGATTCTGAAGCATCCAATCCTCCTGAAAAGAAACATAAGCCCAATGGGCCCGGAACTCCAAACACTCCTAAGAAAAGGATCGATGTTATAATGGGAGGATCCAAATTTTGCCGAGATTCGATCAGATCAATCAAAAGGCACAAGAAATCAGCAGCAATTCAAACCGCTGTAGGTTTTC